CACACCAAATGCTAAAGTATAATTGAAATTCATATATAATCACCAAAATGTTATATATAAACATTTCTGCCAACAATAATAATACATTAATACATAATAAAATTAAATTAATAATCTGTAATTTTACATTTGCCAACAAAAAAAAAACAAAAAAAAAAACAAATGGATTAACGAATATTGTTTAGCAGTTGCTGAATAGTATAAGCAATATCGGCCTTCAATTTTGCTCCTCCGACCCCGAATTCGACGAAGATACTCACGAACTGGAAAAAAAAAAGCCAGAAACTCAGAATTATAAAAAAAAAAACAAAATCCTCGAAAAAAAATAAAATAAAAAAAAAACCGACAAAACTCAATATTAAAAAAAAAATTCGAAAAAAAACACATGCATGTACGAATTAAACCCAGAAAAACTGATTAATTAAACCCAAAATTAAAACGCATAAAAAATGAAAAAAAATCGAATTAAATACAAAACCGATAAAATTCGGATAATTATACCCCGAATAATCGAGAAAAACTCGAATTAAAATCCAATAATCGATTAAGTAAACCCAGAAAAATCGATTGAAATCCAAAATCAAACCCAAAATTAAATCCAACAAAATCGATTAAAATTGAATTAAACCCATAAATTAAACCCTAACCTTAAATAATTATACCCAGAAATTGTTGTTGATGTCGGTGGGCTTCGCGGCGGTGGTCAAACTTTGTGGTGGTGGTGGCGGTTTTGCGGCAGTGATGATGTGGCAGTGGTGGGCTTTGAGGCGGTGGTCGAATTTCCTTTATAAAGAAAGAGAGAGAAGATCGAAGAAGAGATGAGAGGAGAGAGGAGATCAAAGAGGAGGGAGAGGAGAGAGAAGAGAGGAGGGAGATCAAATTAGAGGAAATGAAATGGAGAAGCTAAGTTAGAGAGAGAAGCTAAGTTAGGGTTTTATGTACAAAAGTTCGGGTATTATATTATGTTCTAGAAGCAGAGATGAAAGAAGACCGGTTTTTTTGTTTTTAAACCTTTTGGCACCGGTTCGGTTTGAACCGGTGCTAATACTCTACTCTTAACACCCCGCCATTTTCACCCTTTTTTTTACCACCGGTTCTTAAAAACCGGTGCCTATATCTCGGTGCCAATTACCATTTTTCTACTAGTGATTACATCATATCTAGGTATTTTTTATATCATATTTTGACATTCTAATATCAAAATTGACTTTTTAAAATTAGAATTTTATATTTGTACATTAGTTTTTGACTTTTAAGCGTCAAATCTTGGTATCATTAATTTTGACTTTTATCACATTAGATTTTATTTATTTTAGTTTAGATATTTATATTTCAAAATTTGACTTAATTTTGAATTTATTAACATTTTAATATTTCCTCCGTTTTTTTAGTTGACATCGTTTGACTTTTACACTATTCACATACTGCACTTTGACTCGCTTTTATGATCTATAGTATAATAAAATATAGTCAGGTAGGATTTTGTTCGAATCGTCTATATGTATATTTTATTAAAATCCCCCTTTTATAATTTTACAATGTATGTTGATAATTAAAGTTAGGGTTTTTCTAAGCTATACCCCCCAAGTTCTTCGGTTACTAAGTTGTACCCATGCATTTTCAAAGTTATAAGTTGTGCCCCCCACCTCACGATATTTTATCAACAATACCCTTTGATAGCCATACATGTTAACGAAAGTTAAGTTATTTTATCAACAATGGTGTCGTTGTGTTATTAATTTGACACGTATCCCATTCTAATTGGTTTAACACTTTTAAAAAAAATTAAAAATCAGAAAATAAAATAATAAAAAGGTTATTGTTAACGTCAAAGGTTATTGTTAATAAAAATTATTGAGGTTGATGGCAAGATCTTAGACGTTTGAAAAGGCATGGGCACAGCTTAGAAACCGAAAAAGTTTGGGGGCATAACTTAGAAAAACCCTTAAAGTTATTAAGCGTTAAAAAATGCATTGACAAGCGTGATAATATAGAAACGGAATTTTCACCATATACCGTTGAGTTTTAACTTAATTCACCATATAACACCAAAAACTTTCTAATTCACCATATATCACCACAAACTTTCTAATTCACCATATACCACAAAATACATTTTTTGATAACTATCGTTAGTCTGCCATTTGGGGTATTTTCCTAATTTAACAATATACCCATGTTTATAAAGTTATTTCACCATATAGCATTATATTAAAAGATATTTCACCATATACCTAGAATTTGCAATGACTATTTTTAATTGTTGCATCTATTATTTTTTGCTGCTTCACTACTCTTCTCTTCAACTCTTTCAACATGCTCTCAACTCCATAACATTGTGTGTCTATGCTTTCCCTGCTTTGAAATTCATAACCTGAAAGGAAATTTTGCTCGACATGACCCTTACACCATCGAAACTTCTCTCATATGTCACACTTATAGTATAATTTTTTATGGATATTTTGTCGAATAATCACATCTTCTTATTGCAAATTTCTTCCCACATGTACAAGTTGTGTTTGACATTCTTATGTATGCATATTCGTAAGATGACGATAATGATTTCGAGTGAGTTGACATCTTTGCAAATGCTTTTAGAAGGGTGGAGTGCTGCTTCAATCCCTCAAGTATTATGTTTATATACATAAACTATCCGTTATAACAGTCAACGATTAATTATTATTTTTTAAAAAAAAAAACCGTTGTAATTTGTAGGTATATAGTGAGATATTTTTTAATTTAATGGTATATGGTGAAATAACTTTATAAACCTGGGTATATGGTGAATTAGTAGAATATCCCAAATGGCAAGCTAACGATGACAGGCTAACGTCAATTAGTAAAAAAAGTATTTTGTGGTATTGCGCATGAACTCAATGATATATAGTGAATTAGAAAGTTAAATAAATATTAGATGTATAGTTTTTTTTTAGACAAAGATATATGCTTTTAATAAAGGGACGAAATGAGTATATGATTTCAACACTTCATTATATGATATCTAATCGCTTGAGTTATACCTCACTCTCAATATTTTAATACCAACAATACCTCTATGGCTCTATCCCAACATTTTAATATACCTTGATCCCAACATTTTAATACTAACACTTCAATATACTAGTATGATATCAACAAACATTTCAATATATAATACCAACATAATGCTAAGATATAACTTAAATGTATATTAAGATTACATTGTACTAAGATATTATTTAAGATAATAATGTACTAAGATATCATCCCCTACAAATAACCATCATCATCAGCATCATAACCATAACCAAGTGCATCAATAAGAAGAAACGAAACATAAGCCTCTATCACTGTCTCTTTCTCCACCACCACCTCGGCCATCTCCACCATTATTTTCAAGCGGTAACTTCCCATTACCATCGTCGAAATAACCACCATCATCGAGGCCAGGCGAAACATTCACCTCTAAAAAACGAACATCATCATTTGGAATCATCACCGTAGATTCCGAGTTATTATATGATTTGACGACAAATCCAAATTTGTCTCTCTTCCAATGGGCCGAATTCATGATTTTACGTCACGCTTTTGTTTGAGAAAACGTAGAAATTCTACAATGGAGGATGAAACTACAGAAGGTCCATTGATGGGTAAGATTGGTTTCATTCAATGCATTATTGTGAATGTATGGAAGATTGGAGCTCGAAGAAGCAACTGACATAGCGGTTGTGTTAATGATGATCAATGATTTTTCGAATTTTATGTAGAAATTGGGAAAGAATGATTATTTAGTAGTTGATGAAAATGGAAGACATTAAAAGTTTTAGAGATCGAAGGAAAATGAGGTGCATGAAAATGATCGACTCAAACAATACTTTTCCTTTTGCAAAAGCTAATCTCATACTAATCACATTCATATGTGAAATACATTGTACTCAATTGGTCATCTACACATACAATTGCTTATACAATTGCAAAAGCAAGATAAGTATGATTCATGAAATTGTTCCTTTTTTGAGGTCTTCGTGATTTTGTTTAGGTTAAGATTATAGAGGCGTTTTAATTTAAAAGTTGTTAGAAGGGGTAGTGTTAAAGCTTGTAAGATAAGTAAAATTCGATTGTAATATTCGTGGTTGTATTAGGGTGTTGTAATAGCAAGGATACAAGAATTTGTAAGTACTAACAAGGAATAGTGATAAAGTTTCTATAGAGATATATGTATGGAAAAACAATTGATATAAGTGAAGTTATCTAGAATTTGTTAGAATTTAATGATTTTTAAAAAAATATACTATTGTTTTAGATATTATTTCAGAACATAATATGGTTTATTGAGTACCTAATTAATTTCGAAGAGCTTTATTTTAAAATGATTGTGATTATAAGGATTAGTAATAAGGAAATGCAATCTTAGAGGTTAAAGTAATGTAAAATGGATTAAATATAAAATATATAAAAGAATTGTATACATATTTTTTAGACTATTTAAAGTAGAAAATTTTCGAGTGGTTCTTCTATTGAAAATTATAATTGTTAGAGTTTGTAACTGATACAGTACATTTAAAGAGCTGTTTAGTGAACTAAGCTGGTTCTTGCAAAAAACTTGTTCTTGATACCCCTCATGTACTGCTTTTCTTGGAGTACCGGAGGACCTTTCAATTGGTGGATAATCTAGGACCTCCAAATAAAAATAAATAAATAAATATAAATACATAAAATATAAAAAATTAGATGCTATGACTGGGTTGTGCAAAAGTGTGTTTTCTATACTTCTCTTTTTTTGGGTGTGGGAGGGGGGATGGGTCAGAAATCTGAAGGCTACTTTCTTCTCGTTATCTCTGTACACCATGCTCTTTAATGGAAGGAACAAAACAGCATATAAGCATAGTTGCCTAAGCTCGTCCTGAAATGATTAAAACGGGACAACAATAAAATATGCAAAAACCCGAGATCAAGTAAAAAATGACTGATAATGAAGTACAAAACCTGAACCAGTAGCAACAAAAAAATTATATATTTTGTCCTCAATTGTTCAATAAAAAATTACTAAGCTCTTCAGAGACAAAGTACACAATAAAGAAGTTTAGCACTTCATAGTGTTTATACATCTACCAGCAGTCCACAGTACTGAAAATCATATTCATGTTCCACGGTCAGGACCATTGTCCCGGATAAAAAAAAAATACAGTTCAAAGATTACAAATATATATTTCATATATACTTGTATAGTTGTATAGAAATGGAAAACATATAGACGCATAGTTCAAAGGTCAACAACAAAGTCTTAATCTTAATGTACTTGGCGTTAACTTGCAAGTGCAAATCCACCAACTCTACAAAATTTTAGCTTAGTTTAAGAGCATAACAGCAGTCATAATATAGTATCTAAATAACTGCAAGAGATACACTCATAAGCTTTTGGCCAACTATCAGCATCTGCAATATGATGAGATGAAATAATGCAGATTGACATTTAAGATAAGAGTTCCCAATGAATGAACCAGCCTCCATGTTCTACCCATGAAAGCAAGACAAAGCCAGTTTTCTGAATTCTGAAGTAATATAACTTCAAGAGTTCATACTTAATAAACACTGCTCAACTTATCTTGTAAGGCAAAAAATACTTCAGTATTATGTAAACTGAAGGAAAAAGAACAAGTGAACAACTATAGATCGGAAATTCTTGCATGAAATATGGGACATCAGCATCTAACAACAAAAAGGAAACACATACTCTGTCAAGAAAAAGGCTTCTCTTCATACTATTCTTAAATAATGCAAGTTGAAGTTCTTCCTGATCATCATAATTGATAATTGTATTAGAATAAAGAAACAATAATAACTTGATATAGCAATAATATAATACATAACAACTCTTCATTTGCTACCATATAAAACAGATTATCACTTATACGTCAAGGATATTTATATACCTTTTGAATAAAACCATCTTTGACAACAGAGTTGCTGAGTTTATTGAATAAGTCATATAAAAGATCCACTTCATCCTCAGTAACTGCAACACAAAACAATCAATAAATTATCAAATTATAAATATTTATTTTGTCTAAAATATTTAGGTAATTTTGGGCATAGCTTCTTTATTTAATTTAAAAAAAAAAAAAAAAAACCGAAAAAGAAGTATGTAACATTACTTTTGTGAAAGAAAAAGAAAAACCTTTCAAAAAATATGGAGTAAAAAGATCATATTTTGTACCAAAAATCAAAATATTGTGCCAAATATTTCAGAAGTACCAACTCCGAGTCCAACATAATTTCTAAGTTATGGCAACACATATATAAGAGTACAAGTCTTCTACTTATAAAAGTAATGCAAAATTTACCTTTTTTCATCTTCGATATTCCCATCTTCGGTTTGTTTTTCCTCGTCCATTTCCTCATCGTCTTCATTGTCCACTTCCAGAAAATATTTCCGATAAATGTTACTATTGTCAGGATCTTCTGTTGCTTCACAAGACAACTACAAATGGCACAAGGCTCAAACCAGGCAGGCTAAAATGAATAAAAACTTACATCATCTTCAGTGACTGGTTCTCCAGGAACAGTTAAAGGAATTGGCTCAGGCTCCAGCTCTTTTTTATAAATTTTCTTCATCTCTTCTGCAACAGCTTGTGCCAAGGAGTCCTAAAATGCTCATTGATTAAAATTAAGTAAACGTTTGATGTGGTTAAAACCGCAAGACAATAAGAGATATTGGGTAATAACTAATAACCTTGTGACTCTCATCCTCTGGATTAAAAGAGCATCCTTGAGGCTCAACTTCAACTGCTGGAATTTGTGAAGGTTAACCTTTCTGTAAATCAAACAATTCATAATGGACACCAGTCAGACAAGGGAGCTAGATCATACGCAGCCAGATATAAAAAGAATCAAGTAATAGATTCTGTGCATCAAATATATATCTAAAATCAAGGGATCTCATAAGAGACTTTGACCCAAAGATCAACAGAAAAGATATCCAAATTTGACAAGCCAAATACTTTACATAACATGGGTAACAGTGTAAGCACCTTTTAATGGGAAATAAATAATCAAATGTCTACATACTTAAGGATGGGAAGCACAATAAGCGGAGTGAATCATTAGATGATTAGGTTACCACCTTTCCTCTTCATCTTCTTCATCTTGTAATTGTCGAAGTGCTTTTTACCCACCGTCCCCAACTGATTAACAAGCAAGCACATTATCTTCATTCTCCAAGAAAACAGATTATAAATTGATTTAATAAAGCTTCAGAAAGTAATGACCAATGGCAACAAAAGGTAATCATGGAAAATGATAAAGGTGGTTAGTGTTTTCCTAGTATCTACCCACTAATAGCAGCTGTTCATCAGATCAAAACTCAAAGAAAACCTTGACAGTTATATTACCACGTGTTAGCTCTTTCTTTCACATCCTCTTCATTTTCATAAATATAAACTGATACTACCCATAGACAAGCCTTATTTTGATTTAGATTGTTTGTTTGCCCCAATTTTTGGTTTATTCTTTGAATGTAGAATATGATCAAGTTTATTTTGTAATTTACACCTAGCTAAATGTCCAGAATTCAACAACTAATACAAAAATGCACACAATTGATAGAAAAATAAGCACTATAATACAAAACCCAAAGCAAATTTAAGGAGTAAGAGATAACCAAGAGGAACCCTTGCTTTCCAAGAGTCCAGTAATACTGAAGACAGCATCAGCAGAGAATCAATTCAATCCACCATAACAAATTCAAAACAAAAATAGCAAAATCACAAGAAACAAAGGGTTAAGTATTTATCAGTCAATCGAGGAACCTTTATAGCGATACTACTAAAACCTGCACACTTATTAATACTACATCATCAGATTGGAGGTGCAATTGGAGGTGAAGGTGAATCAACCGTAATGATTATGGGCTTAGGATGTGGCATTTCTCTTCCCATTTCTGGCAGCTTCTATGGCTTCCTTGTTCACGGAATTTTTGTAGTTTGGTTCATACTTGTAATCTAATTTTATTGTGGATTTTGTTTCAAATTGAGATGTTGGAATAAGCAGTAGGAAGCTCTCATCAGAATTTAGCATAGCTTATGAGTTAATACTTTGAACTTATCTAAACTCAAGGTCAAAACAAAATTAGAAAAAAGCATAATACAACCAAGATCAATCTACAAATGTAGATAGTGTTAACTACGTGTACTCATGGCTAATTTAGTATATTGCACTAAAATTTCTGTGAATGAAAATGGATGGTAAATACATATTCCATATAGGATCAGCAGTTCAGCACATCACAAATATCAGTACACGCAGCCACGCAGGCACGAGCACAGACACACACACACACACACACACAGTCAAGAACTAAAGGTGAATAGCAACTCACTAAATTGTGAAAGGTTTAGATACTAAAGAAAAGGAATTATATGATAAATAACCCCAAAAACTGAGAACAATAATACATTATGCAATCAAGCATTATAGACTCACGGCGTTTTTGTCTGCATTGTCCTCAGGATCCTGCTGCAAGGTTTCTTCAACAAAATGGGGTTGAGAACAGCAAGTTGAGTTCAATCAAGTCATCTACATCTTCTGGCAGCTGATCTAACGTTGTTGGTTTTGTCATTTTTAGAGTTTAAATGCTGAAATTGGTTCAGATTGTGTACTTCAGATTTTTTTTATCAAAATAGTAAGAAAAACATGTTTTGTTCCTCGAAGTTGCCATTTTCAAAAATGTAAAGAAAATTCTATCAATCTTTTACAAAAAAATATGATGAAAATTAAAATTACCCATAATTTAACAACAAACGATTAAATGTAGCCTTTATCTTTTTATCATTCCTTAATTGTGGGTAACTTTTTTAACTTACAAAGTAATTAAGTAACAAATCTAAGTACCCATTTTACGTAAGATCATCATATTCATCAAATGACATAAAAAAATTGACAAAATTACTAAGAATATGAAATAATTAGTAAAGAAAAAACGAAAACAATTAAATGAAAGAACCCAAGAAAATTGAGAAAATTCGATGAAATTGTAGTAAAAGAAGTAAGAATAAGAGGTAAATGAAGATAAAAATGTAGAATATAAATGAATACAAAGTCCGCACTTCTGCTTCTTCCTTATTCATTAATGATCTTGCTCACTATAAGCTTGACTTTGTATACAATCGAAATTCAGATTATAATTAAGAAGAATTACCAAAAAAAACATAGAAAAGAAAGGAAAAAAGAGGAGAAATAGCCCAAAAAAAAAACACAGTCAACATTCATATTAAAGATTAGATGAAAATTGAACCAATTTGAACAAGAAAGAGAAAGGAGAGATAGAATTGTACCTGGAGATCAACAATCCTGTGACAAATCAGACAATAATACTACTAACAATAATAATAAAAAAAAATCAACCTAAAACAAACGATAAATCACTCAAATTCAACCCAAAAAAACCACCACACAATCAAAGAAGGCACTAAAATTCAACCCAAAAAACGAAAATAAATAGAACAAATAAACCCTTAAAAAATCGAAAAACAATCGAACAAATAAACCCAATAAATCGAAAACAAATCGATCAAATAAACCCCATTAAAAACGAAACAATTTCGCACAAATACACCCACAAAGATTCAAGCCCAAAAATTCGGAAACATAGAACATATATGCAAAAAATCCACGACAATCGAACAAGTAAAGCCTAAAAATTTGAAACTAAATCGAGAAAGAGAAACGAGATCAAACCTGATGAATGTGATGATCGGAAAATCTTCCACAACCTCAGACTCGAAAAATCGTCGAAAGGGATGATAATACAGAGGTTTCTCTCTCTAGGTTTCTCTCTCCTTCCCCTTTTTCCTTCTGAGATGAAAATACAGAGGGGGAAATGGGAACAGCAGCAGAGTAAAGGCCAAGTAAGGGTGAGAGAGTAAGTCGGTTGGAGAGCAGCAGGCAACAAACAATAGGAATAAGGGGCAAAATGGGCAATGCATTAATGTTGGGGGCAAGGCTGTAATAGCACCACACAGCACTATTCACAAGCTACAGTATTTACATTTGCATGTTTATAAGGTTTAAGGATAAGAAAATTCACTTATCACAGGTTACTTTTCTTTTGAGGAAGCTTGATCTTCTTTATAAACAAAATTTGTACGTAGTACAATTTTTTTATAGTCATGACATATTTGTAAATAAATCAACTATTGTGGGTTTATTTTTATTATGTAAATAAATCAACTGTCCATTTTTATTAAAAAATTATTTTATATACAATTTTGCCATTTGATAATCATATCTTATTTATCAAAAAAGATAATCATATTTTATTTATCAAAGAGATAAATTTGTATTTTCTCCTTTTACTCTGTACCCTGTGTCATTAATAATACTTACCCACTACCTACCAAATAAACCAATTGGTTGTTGGTGTAGTGATGATTGAGACTACACTTGATAGGGAGGACTCGTATTCAATCCCCGCAACAAGAATCGGGAGAAGACTGGAACCTAACCTGCCAGAACTGATCCGAATTCGGATTAGCCTAAAGGGTGAAACGGGTAGAACACCAAAATAAAAAATGACCTTTGAATCATTGATATAATTACTTTGATTATAGTATTATTTACCATAGTATTATTTACCAATAAATAAAAATTTTAAGTTGCCATCTTAAATATTTTTGGATTAGTGTTTATATATATTTTCACTATGTATCAATTTTTTTTAACTTATTAATGAAAGCTTACAAATATTAATGGTTAAAGTTGTGCATTGACTCGTTTGCCAGTCAAATTGTTGTGATTAATTATGAAACAAAAAAATTATAATATTCCGTAAAAACACTAAAATACCAACTATCACACAATTAATTAAGAAGTTAACTAAAAATTCCTTAAATCTTATACCAATCGAAATGTGTCAACTAATTGGATGTAGAGCAACCAAAAATTTATTTTTGTTGTTATCTTATACTCCGTAATGTCTAAGATATTATTTTATAGAGTTCTACATATTTATAGCTATCATAATAAAATCATAATAATATTATTGAAAGCTCGCTAATCATTAGCCAACAATCATACATATTTTACATTTTTTCACCTTTTTTCCTTTTTTTTTTTTTTTTTTGACAAGATCCATTTCTCACTACAAACATACAACTACAAAACCTTAAAACCTTCCATAATTTAATTAAAATAAATAAAATTTGAATCTTATGCTTGTCCATAAACATAGGAGAAAGAAAGGTCTAAAATGAGCAGAATTTCTCCCTCACTTCCCTCTTTCCAACTTCCTCCAATCTCGAGGTCAAACCCCTTTGCCGACGGCCCCCGATCCAGCCAACCGATCCGAACACGGCATTCCATTTCAATCTTATTGACTTTTTACTCTAAATCTCACCTTTCTCATTAATTATTTAATCATACATTTTATTTTTATTTTATTTATCTATTATTTAATTATTCATACATTTCTATTTAATTAATTAATAAATTTAATAAATACATCTTAAAATCAATTTATAATTTTTGTAAAATTAAAAATACAGTAAAGAAGAAAAAAAAAACCCCGAAAGAACGAGGAAAATTAAACAAACAAAATTTCATTATTTTTGTTTTCTTTTTTCATTTTTTATCGGATTTTCCTTTGTTTTTCTTCCCTTGTTCCCAATCTCTCTCTAGTTTCTCTCTCTACCCCGATCCATCCATGACAGAGTAGACTAAAAAAGCTTCAGCTTATTTACCCTCTTTCCCTTCTTTCCTTCAATGCTGATTTTCAATTACTCAAACAACTAATTTCCCAAAAGAAAAATATTTAAAAAAAATTGAAAACCCCACTTAACCAAATCCAACAACAAAGAAAGAAATTATTCCGTCATCACAGAATAATTTCATTTCATATCATTTTTCATATTATAATATAATATAAATCAATCCCAACTTGTTGAATCTGAGCAACAAGATTAAAAACTAGGGTGGGTTGTTGTTTTTCTTGACAACAAGGGATTGTTGTTATTTATTTATTTATTTTTTGAAGGGGTTTGAAAAAAAAAAGAGGGATCATTGTTGATCGGATGTTGGAGAGGTTGTCGAGGGGAGATGGGTCGAGGGGAAACCGATAATAGGAGAATTGAATATACAACCAAAATCGAATGAACCCGAGCAACAGCAGGAACAGAATTTATTATGTTATGTTTGTTGTAGTTGTTTGATAGTTATATATAGAGAATTGGTTAGAGGACGAGGATGCAGCTGCACTTGTCGCCGAGCATGAGAAGTATAACTATATCATCGAGCAATGGTGGGTTCGTTGACTTGATGAAGATCAAAGTAGCTGCTCGTCACATTTCATATCGTACCCTTTTTCATACAATCCTCATTCTTGCTTTTTTGTTGCCGTTCGTCTTCATTCTTACTGCTCTTGTTACTCTTGAAGGTGTCAACAATTGTTCTTCTTTAGGTATGATTTTGATTCCATTATTTTCTGGATCTTGGTTTTCATTTTCGTTTGATTTGGTTGTGTATCGATTTGCATTGATTGGAATTGGAATCTGATTGTTTGGATTTGTGGGTGTGTTTGTTTTCGATTTCTTGAATTCGATTGACATGGAATCACTTTGATTAGGATGGTTTTGGGGTTGCCGACACTTGGTTGATTTCTGATTTCTTGGTTTTTTTGGGTTTGAGTTAGGTTAGTTTTGGGTATAAGCGATTGTGTTTGTTCCCATTGTGTTGATTGGGATTGGATTATTAATCGTTGTTGAGCTTTTTGTGATCTTTAGTATTGTTTTAGGTTGCTGCTTTAGACGGCAATCGTTGCAATCACTAGGTGTTTTGGGCGTTACTAATTACTATAGCAGTATAACTGAAATCACCGTTTTGATTTTTATTTGTATCTTGCACAACCCTCTGTTTCTTTCTCTCTCTAGTGAGATACTGTCGTTGGTTTATTGATTTTTGTATATAATTGTTGGTATTTAGATATATATGGATGTATCCTGTAATGCAATTGGTAAGATTTAATGCATAGATGCGCTTACACTTGTTCATGAAATCAGAGATGGTCCCGGTGTTGTTTTATCATTGATTAAAGTGTGATCAGCGATCTTATAATTGTGAAGATGCCTAATGAGTTGAGCTGATGCCTAATCTAGTTCTAGGGCACATGTTTTCACAGGGGTTTTGTATATTTTGCAATATAGCAGGGAGCATGTCTTAACTCGCTAGCATTTGAATAATTGAACCTGACATTCACCATAGTTCACCTCCTTTCGGAAGGGAGAGAAAGAAAGAAAGTGAGAGAAGTAAAGGAAAGAATGTTTGCTCATTCAATGGTTCTTGCAATGTTTTATTGCTTTTTTGTACTGTGCACTGGGGCAATATTATATTTGAAATTTTGTTAACATGGCTTGAACATTACTTTGAATGATATATATGTTTCACGTTGATCTATTTTGGTGGCCTCTATTATTGTGCGCTTTGTAAAGTTTTATCCCTCTATTTCTTATCTTAGATAGAGCCGTTGAAATTTTGAGGTGTAAAGCAGTTACAGAGGAAAGGTTGTACTTACCATTATGGCTTAAATTTTTTGTGAAATCACACATAACCTTGAAAGGCTGCTACATTGTATCTTGTGTCTCTCTTGAGTTTCTTTCTTGTCTATTAGTGTGTTTGCATGCCGACCTCCGGTTCATTTGAGTGTTTGTCAAATAATTATAGCTTAATTCAAAGGCCACAACTATTATATATAAACTAATCTATTATTCTGCTGTCATGTGCAATTTTCTGCTGGCTTTTCTTCTGGATAAAAAAAAATTAACCTTGTTTTTGCTTGATCTACTATTCTGTACGGCCAACTATTCAAGGAAGCTATGATTTTGACTTTTGTCTTTCCATTATGTTTCAGATTGTTTAGGTAGGCGTTTTGGTCCCAGGCTACTCGGTAGAGATGATTCAGGGGTATTAATTTTGTGCATGTTATTGTATTATAGTTTTTCTTATGTGAAGCAAATTTACTTTTTCTCATTCTCTTTTTGTTGCAACAGAGGCTGGTTAGAGATTTCTACAAAATTCTTAATCAGGTCAATGGTGAAGAGATGCCATCTGGTCTAAAGCTTCCAGATTCATACAGTCAACTTGTGTCTGATATGAAGAACAACCAATATGACGCAAAAACCTTTGGTTTCATCTTAAAAGGAACGGTATGTATTGCTCTTTCATATCACGAAGCCTATGTTCTGGTCTTCAGCTTACATTATTTGTGGAAGTTTGCATGAAGATAGATCTTGTGGATGTATATCTTTCTAACTTTTCTCAGTTGAAATTGTGTATATTACACTTACGAGAATGCATATGGTAAACTAAAGTATGCAGAAATGTCATTATTATATTGTTTTGGAATATATGGAGACACAACTTTTTATTTATATAATCTTTGGTAAACTAAAGTATGCAGAAATGTCATTATAATATTGTTTTGGAATATATGGAGACAAAACTTTTTATTATATAATATTTAGAGAGTTCAGGTACTCTATTATTGTTTCTTCTCCTGCAACATTAATTACAGATAGTTAAAACAAAGGAGCTCTTGATAATTTTCTTTTCGTTCAATACATTTTTTTACCATCATGAATAGTGGTCTGTTGGACTGATAAAACTAAGGTAGCAGTTACTTCCATTGCTAATTTGGTCTACATAAGACTTTTTCTTTCTAGAAGTTTAGAAAATTGTCACTGAAAAGTGAAAACCCAACAGGTATTCCTCTTGCAACATAAGTTACTGTTTTTAAAATTTAGAATGTCATATATATTCCCTAACTTTTGTTGTTTAGTAGTATATTTATACTGTTACGAAGAGAGAAATATGGCATTTTGGGACGATAAAAGATAGGAATGTCATTTAT